ACCGCCACCTCCCACTCTAACTCCTCCCTATAACCCCCATATAGAGGCCTGATTTAGGCACTGAGATGGGGATAAGCCGTGGGTTTTGCCCTTCAAATATATGCCAGAATATAAAGGAGCAACAGGTGAGTACACAGCTAATCGAAAATGGAATGTGCTTTATGTGCAGTGTTAGCAAACTGCTTCAGAAAGACAGGGATAAAAGATCAGCAAAACTTTCAAAGAGGAGGTGACTGAATATTTCAGAACACACGCAGAAGTGGATTAGGGGAGGAAAAGGGAACATTCTAAGTCAAGGGAGGGAGGCATACCCTGGGAAATGAATCTGAGGCCTGATCCAATCATAGGATTGGAATGTGTCAATTAGAAATGTTTTCAACTGAAAAGTAACAGAATCCTTGCCTAGTACAGCCTTAAGAGATGGAGGTTTGTTTGCTCAAAATGCTCAGAGGTATGTGGTTACTGGCATTGATTCGGTGGCTCGAATGGCATCTGGGAGGCAGGTTCTCTCCATTTTTCAGCTGTGACATCTTTAACATGGTGGGTTTTCATCTTTTTACTTTTTACCTCATGTTTGCAAGACCGTTGCCACAGATCCAGATGCCATTAACTAGTGTTATGAACAAGAAAACAAAAGGAGTTGAAAAGAGCTTTCCTTTAATTAGGCAAGAGAAAAATTTCCTGAGAGTTTCCCAGATTTTCCACTACATCTTATTGGCCCAAACTGGGTCATATGACCATCTTCAGAGGAAAGGTTGGAAAAATATCTGGACAAGAATGAAAGGCCTAGAAAAATCATGATCCATCCCCTAGGGCTGGGCATATTGCCGCCTTAAACAAAGCGTTCTCGGCAAGGAAGAACGATTAAGCAACCATTCGATGAGCAAATTAACAATAACTGCAATCCCGTGTTTGAACTTTAATCCAAGTTCTAGTGAAACAAGAGTTCTAATGGAGGGGAAAAAAAAAAAAAAAAAAGCCCAGATGATTCAAGTATACCTCTAGTTTTGTAGATTTATTCTGCCCTCTTTGGTCTTAGGAGAACCGTACTGCTTTTCTTGAGAATGACAGCCTTCCCCAAACTGCAGACTCAGATTTAGATGCAACTGAATTCCTTCCTGTGGTTTTGCAAATTCTACTATATTGCAAATTAAATTTCAAAAGGGGGAAGTTACCATTTTCATTCATATAAAACCTCCCTTAATACTTTTAACACATTTCCAACTTAACTGCTGCCTTTCTTAAGCATCACAAGGCCATTCATTCATTCATGCCACAAACACCGAATACGTTGATGAAGCAAAGTACCTCGCTAGTTAACAGCTAGTTGGACCACTGGCCTCCAGTCAGGTTTATAGTCATAATAACGCTGCAGACCTGGCACCTACTTTAATAATTCTGAGAAAAAACTCTTTCCTCCCCCTTCACACACTGCCTCTTCACCACGCCAAGTCTTGTAGGGTACAATGGTCACACAGGTCACTGGGACACGACTCTAAACACTCCCACTTTGAATGAATCCCTCTGGCTCCCTTCTGAGGGGAGAGGAGAAGCTACCTCGTTTCCTTACAGACTCCACAACATTCCTTTAGGCTCTTAGCAGTCTCAACTTTCCCTAAAACAAACAGGAAAATAAGGACTTCATTTTTTTTCCCTGGAGAACTCAAACTGAAGAAATAAATGGCAAAGATGTGGTAGGAAAGCCCAGGCTTTCCTGGTGGTAAAGAAACAAATAGGAGGGAAGAGGTAAGACGTGAAATGTGTACTTACACTCTTCTCACACACCCCTTGTGGCACCCCATCCTATAATGACCAACAACAGGATTACTTCATGCTTTAAACCTTTTTAGACCTTGGGTACCAATCTCTCTCCACAGCCACAGGGTCCTCTTGTGGGACCAAAATCACCCAAAAAAGAAAATTCATTTAAGGGGTTACTTGATAACTAAAATAGTTTAGTAGATACTGAGGAAACAGCCCTCAGAAATTGCCTGGTCCAAATTAAAGGACAGAGGAACATATCATTCCTGGGGGACTGCAGTCAATATAGGTCCACAGGTCCACCTGTAGAAGCCTGGAGGGATGCTGAGACCGCTATGCCGTGTGCTAAGACCAGGGAACATCCTATTACCTGCAGTCTGGGGTTTTCTGACAGGGTCAGAATGCTTTGGCAGGGGTGGAGGCAGAGGATGGGCGGGGGCGGTGGGAGTACCTCAAACTGAACACAGGACCGTAAAGGCAAGCTGCAGTGACTTGTGATCTGGAGAAGTACAAATTACGCCTCGCCTGAGACCTCTGCTGTGGACCAGATGGTGCGCGCGTGCATGCGTGCGTATGATTACTGGGATTTTCAGGTCTGCAGAGGCGAAGGTTAAAGCCCAATGTATTATTTCACTTAGGGCGCATTTGGACGAGGTAAAGGTGGAAAGAAAATAGAGACAGCAACAGGAAATGAGTTCTTCCTCCTTCTGTGTAGCCACAGCAAAAGTCAGGTGATGTTATGCAGTTGTTGAGAAAAGACTTGACTGTCCTGGATTTAAAGGTCCCACATTACAGAGGTCCATCTCCTTCCGCATCTCTGCAGTCATCCTTCATTCCTTCCTGCCTAACAAGTGCAGAGCCATATCACAAGTCACCATCCTCAGAGAGGTCTACTCCATTTTCACGATCCTTCTAGGGGCCCCACCTGACCAGCCGTCACCCGAGGGAGCGATGGAGCACCCACATTCAAGGAGCATAGTTGGAACATAACACCAACCAGCAGAAGAAAGGCAAGAGGCACGGGGACGAGGAGTGCAGAGAGGTAACATGAGGCCAGACATGAAGATTCCAAGGCTGGGAAAGAGGAGAAAGGTGACAGCTGGGACTGAAGCATGAAAAGGGAGAGAGAGGCCACGTCAAAGAGCAAGAAATCAGTTACCAGATATTAATTCTTTCCTCCAATTAAAAGTCACTCACTTTTCTCTCAACATAAAACAGCACATATTCTTATTCACCACAGCTGTAAGCTTCAGGCTATGCACTGTCCTGCTGCAGTCCTAGGACACGTGCTACATCACGGTCAAGCTCCTGACCCAGAAATCACACATCAATGTCAGTCTCATTTCTTTGTAGTTACCCTTTCCCTAACTATGGAAGTTTTACAAAGTCACCTGAGGCTACAGCGTGAAACAGAAAACACAGCCTTAACCTTGAAGTCCCCATATCCTGGCTAGAGGGAAGTCCACACAGCCCCCGGGCCCCGGGGCACAGCTGACCTCACAGCCACCTCGGTGCCTACACTCGTTTCCTTGCCCACTCCACAAGAAGGAATTGCAGAGCCAGCTAAAGCACCAGCAGGAAAGGGCTATGAAGAGGAGGCACAGAGTTACGGTGACTGTAAGTACAGTCTCCTGAGCATCCACAATTAAGCTAGCCTTAGCCCAGCCCCACAGAAAACAGTTATTTCTTATTGTTTTTCTTAGGTCTTCTTGGTCACTCATTTTCAGCTACCTAAATCGTCTATCTGAGAATGAATACTGAAGAGATAAGCAGCGACAGGTCAAGGTGTTAGGGGAGATAAAGTTTATCAGATATGTCAGCAAAATCACAGTTCAGACGTGAATACTTTTCTCTTTGTGGAGCAAAAAAGCATCCGTGCAAGAAGATTCTGTTGCTGTGACAAATTACTTTCTACTTATACTAGTAAAAATAAATCACAGGGAGAATTCAAGGGCTCTAAGGGCTTGGTGACTTCTGATTCAAAGGCAGCAAAAACACCAGGCCACTGCTCCCAGTGGGTACGCCCCTCTGGCCCTGCTGAGAGGCCACTTGACCCCCACTGCTAGGAGGATGTGCCATAGCAAGTGGACGAAGCTCCTTGAAGGTAAAGAAAACTGATTCTCCTTAACTAGACATTATCAGAGGACTTAGAAACTCAGGAATGTGATAACATACAAGCAGAAACAATTTTGTCAGCATTAACAACTAAATCAATTGTTAGCCTAGACAAAATCTACAAGAAGATGAATATGCAAACTCAACAAGGACACACTGTGTGACAACTGACCGATTTGGGTTTCGTCATGAAAGACATGTTTGTTCGAGAAGAAAGTAAATTCTAAAATCTAAGAGCAACGAGTAAAAAGATAAAATTCTAAATTAAATAACCACTGACTAAAGAAGCAATGAAAGCAAAAAATATACTAGGCATCAACTGAGAGACGACAATGTTTACAGATCAAGAAAAGTTACAGAAGAAATCATAGAATTTATTAAAAAAAAAAAAAGACAACCGAATCAAAAGGTTTTATTTCAGAAACGGGTAATAAAATGGACTAAACTATCTGATGAAAAACGGGTAAGAATCTAACAGAATTGAGACAATTTGTTATCATGCAACTTGTTTCTTCACTTGGTTGGTACTAACTGTAGGATTTTACTAATACAGGAAATAGTTAATCAATACAGGAAACAACCATAATCCTATTAAGCACCTCAATGCACTGTTTTTCAGTCTATTTAAAGATGTAGGAAATACTAAGAGGGCATAATAAGTGTTTAATATAATCAGGTCTAGTGGAAGAAAACTTAACATAGACAGGATTTCTTTGGAGTATAAATGGACTAAAAAACATGTTTTGGAATGGACACATCTATCTGACTTTATTTATGATGCCAAGTTGCCAATCCATACCTGGTTAGTTAGAGGTAGAAACACATTCATTTTGATTGAATTCAGGAATACAAACACAGTTTCTTTGTGTTTGCTCGATACTTTGCAGTCTGTCCCAATGAAGTCAAATTGTCCTTTTCTATTCACCACTGCAAACTAGTTAACTGTTCATTCCAGCTGTACATTCATTGTATGACTCTGCTTCATGATGGTTATTTCATTTCATACTTTCTATAAAATAAAAGATGACTATACCTTGTGTTAAAAAAAAATAAATCATAGGAATGCACCTTTTGACCAGTAAAATTTCACTAAACAATCTCATCATACCTCAGTAGAATTTGTCTTTCAATTTCATAGTCTTTTAATCTGAATGAAAACAATAACTTATGGATTAAAAAGTTTTCTGTTTAACTGACAGGGAAAATATTATAAACATGATTTCTGAATAGAGAAAATGAGATGCAAGTAGCAGTGCTTTCTTCACTGCTATAATACTTCATTTTTAAAAGTAAACACAGTACTAATCACCATTTTGATTCCAGTGAATAAAAACTTAGAACTGAATTTATTCATCAGTTTGGAAGTCTGAAGCCAAAAGGATCCTTTAACAGTATTGCCTAATAGACAAGTCGATCCTAAAAAGCTGATCACACTGCAAAATTTTGGTCTAATTAAACTGGCTCTCGTTGATACTCTGTCTTTGTTTGTTTGGTTTCAATCTGCCATAACAACCAAGGTTAGAATTACATGTAAACAGACGTATACAAGGCTTGATGAAATTGAATATGGAGGATTAAGCATTTAAAAAGTCTGGGTTATAATTCTTATTGCTACACAAGTTCTACTGCATAATTAATTTACAGCAGCCTAAAACTTTTCAGCAACAAAATTATATTTAAAAAATATACCATTATCCCTATATGTTACATTAATTGTAATGTAACATATCACAACCACTTAAGCCTTGCATTAACTTAGAAAAGAATAACTTGTCCCTGAAAAACTCTAACGAGTGATCATATTTCAATCAAAGCTGTCCTGAACTAACTCATAATCAGCAGTGACTACATTTTGTCACTTCTTTGCTCTAATGTGAGTAAAAGTGACGATAATGATTTTTTGAAAAGAGGCTAGAGAACCTGCATCCAATTATGAAGTGGACTTTTAAACCTCCACTGGATTTTTAGGATGTTTTTAGTTGTCAAACATCCGTATAGGTGAAACAGCTGAGGGAACAAACTGCCAAACTTGCCCAAACTACTTTTGCTCCATAGAACCTGATCCCTTCTAAATCGACAACAGCATACAAACTTAGCTATGAAGAATTCAGCCCTTATAAATGAAAACAAACATAATAAACCTACAGGAGGTTTAAAGGTAACTTCATCTGTTTTTGAATATTCAAGTGTAATGCTTCTGTAAAAGATTAAAACATACGTTTCAACTTTATCAGATATGTCAATTTCCATTTGCTCCTAACCTGCCACTAATACATAGGTTCACTGGGCTGCCAAAGAACCCAACTGATCATGGAGAGAGATGAAGGTATCAGTGGAAAAAGAGCACGGATACCACGGCATTTATCCAAACAGTATGATACCCGTCTTTGCATCCCTGAAGTAAGAATGGCCACTTTCTCCAATTAATTTTCTCTATACTAAATAAAGCAGCACTGTCTGTGAAGAGTTACTCCATACCCATAACATTCCACTACTATAGTTACCAATTCAGAAGTTAAAAAAAAAAAAAAAAATACAGACCAAATCCATGTACCCGTGATCCTTTGTATCCTAAAATGTAGAAATATTCTTAGTTTTAACCAAGAATTAGATTGGAATGAAGTAAAACATCTTTTAAAGTAACTTTAAGTATACTCTTATTTGTTACTACATTTCTACATAGATTATTTAATATTGCTTGTGGATATAATTTAATCGATAATAATATATCATAATGTCAACCATTACAGTGATCCAGAATGAGATTCTGGCTATAGAGGGAGCTTAATTATTAAGCAACACCTTCCTGAAAAGCTTCTGTATTTCTGATTGGTAAGAAAAACAAAAAAAAAGAGCGTCTCTCATTGAAATAACACTGACGTTCAAGCTCAGGCCCCCTTCTTTGTGTTCAACATAATTAACTCTCTAGGACAAAATAATGAAACATTAAGTCACGTTAATAAGTTACAGTCATCTTCAAGAAAACTCGATGGGCAACTCTGGTGTTACAACTGTATATCTTGGATCCAACTTAGGGATGAAGTCCTGAAAGTGTTTAGATGCACCAGTACCAAAAACATCAAGGACTTTTCGGTTCATGACGGCAAATCTGTAAAACAGAGGACACAGGGAACAAGTACTTGATGAAGTTTATAAAAGAAGATGATTCACTCCATTTGACTTATCTTTCATGGGATGGGAAGACCGAAAAGGCTGACATGGCAAAAGACTCAATGGCAGATTCAAAGGTCACTTTGATACTCTTCCTCAAGATTCACTGTCTCGTATTCTCTTTAAAAAGATGATAATCCCCCAAACTGAAATCCCAGAGATTACCATCATTATTTCAAACCCTTCTAGAATCCTTTCCACTAGATTGTGTCAAACAGAAAAATAGGTTCATTGTGATTTTTCTGATGAATAAAATCACAAGAAGCTAAATGTATAATGAATGTGCTAATATTTACTGACAAGCAAAGGTATTAAACGTAATTCCTCTCATAATTGAAATTTTAATGTCTCACAGTCAACAGAAAATACATCCAAATGTGACTGAGGGCAAACAGCATATAGGTTTTCAAATTTCTAACAGACACAACATAGTAAAAACACACCCTCATTTTATACATCACCTAACCTAAGAGATATAAAATTTTTAAAAGACATATATTTTAGCTAATGTGCAGGATGGACCTTCTGTGTCTCTGTGCCTGACCATAAGCCTTTCTTTTCTGGGGAAGATACCAAGGTAAAATTAGTTTTGAGTCATTGGCCAGTATCATTATTCCAAGAGCTAATAAATGTGATTTTTAGATCCTTCCCCAAGTATGTTCCCTTCCAAAATAATCAACTGGTTAAACTCATTGATGTGCAAAAGAACCTAAATGACAAAGAAATAAATGATTAAATAATAATAATATAGAGGATACACAGTGTCATGGCTAAGAGGAAGAATTCTGCAGTCAGACTGCCTGGCTCATATCCTAGCTCCGTCCTTTCCTAGCTCTGTGATTCTGGCCGGTGTTTAACCTCTGTGTGCACCTCAGTTTCCTCACATTGCAAAAGCAAGATATTAATAGTACCTATCTCACAGAGCTACTTTAAGGATTAAACACATATGTATGTATATGTATGTTTTATGTGTGTATCTTAAAACCACTTCTGGGACATAGTAAGCACTATAAAACTGTTCGCTATTACTAATATTAATGGCAGCTGCTACTTACTGAATGCCTACTAGGTGCCTAAAGGCTGCCACAAACATCTCGATTTTCCCACAAAGTATGTATTATTGTTTCAATGAAGAGAGAAAGAAACTTGAGGCTCATGATGGTAAAGAATTTTCCCAACCGGTGACACAGCTAAGGGTATCAGAACTGCAGTCAAACCTAGGTCTGTTCAATTCCCAAGCTCATGGTCTTTCTATCAGGTCAAGCTGCCTCCCAAAGAATTAGATTATAATCAGGAAATGCTAACAACAACAACAACAATAAGGAATATGACAGTAAAGGCAAAGAAAAATGTGCTTACAAAATCAGGCAAAAGAATATGATTATTTTTCCAAAGTGGAAATCAGTCAATTGTTCAGGCATGATTTCTAATGAATCTGTGTAATGTTTCTAATCAAAAAGAAGAGATTAAAGATTTTAAAGGTGAGACTTAAGAATGTTATATAGTAACCTATCAGCAGTTTGCAAGTCAACATATTAATCTAGAACACTTAAAATATCTAAAATAATATAGGGAAAAAACAGTCAAAATAATGTTCACTAAAAGAATGCCCCATGTTATTCTTATTAAATTTTAGGTCATATTTGATTTATAGCTAGATACCTACTTTACCACTGAAAGACTATTCCCTCAAGTAAACGAAAAGATTCAAAATCTTTTTTATGGAAATTGCTTTTCTTCTATGACCAGTTAAAACGTCTCAGTCACTTACCTGCCCTTGGTGAGCCTTAGAAGGAACTTCCAGTAAGATGGTCGCAAGGTCTGAACTTCCATGACAGCCTAAGATTAGAATATTCAATTTGAGACTTCTTTTAGTAAACAGCAAATATTATCAGCAGTCTGAGGCAACAGAACATACTTATCTCTATTTTTATTGCTCACTGTATTTAACAACAGTGATGACAGTAGTAACAAAAACATGTATTAATGTTTAAGTTGATAACTCGCAAGAATCTTTGTAAATATGCCTTCAAATAGGAATATTGCTCATGGAATAATAATTGAGTCCATAGTCATTATTATTGGGAAGCATTTACTAGATACCCATTAGATAGCTGGCACTTCGCTAGTTATAGTAAGTTTACCAACTTGGCAGCATTACTGTGAGAAACTGCAAATAAAAGCTGTCCCCCAAACTCTGCAAAAGCCCTAAGACCACTAACATCAATAACGGTGATTGCAGAACTTGAAGAGACTGAACGATGCTTCTATTAAACTAGATTCTACCCCTATCCTCACTGCCTGAGTAATACTTGGGAAAAGCAATTATTCATATTTATGCCCATGGTATCTTTTTTCTGAAGTAAAATTAAGTTAGGGCATTCTAGCCAAGGTACTAGAGTGATAACTCTCCTATACAAATTGCACTCTATTTAAACCTAAAAATCGTTGTGTTCATAAAACATGACCTAGCCCACTAAGTTAACATGTTTAATGATTTGAAACTTGCAAGCTATCTTGCTAATAAAACAAAAAAAGCATAAAACGTAAAAACTGGAAATGTTCCCAGGCCTTTCTTTTTTCCCCATTGGTTTAGTATACACTAGAAACAGAAATAATTCTACTTCTCATTTGAAAAAGTTATACTTACTGCCTGGAAGCAAATTGCTGTAGAGATGGAATAGATGATAGTGTCTGCATGGGGAAAATAGGGAACCTTTCCTGCTTCAATACCTTTGAAATACATTGTCTGCAAAACAAGCACATAGCACAAGATTTATAAAGAAAACAACTTTAAATAGCATTACCAATAAGGTGGAGTGATACGTTCCCTATCTACAACTATTTTTTCTACCTTTCAAAATCCTAACAATCCTTTCAGAGCTCAAATCATAGGTACTTCCCTGACATGTTAAGTGTCAGCCCTTCCCTTTCCCTCATTCACTCACCCCAAACCCCAGATGCCAGTAATAATACTTTTCTGTGAAATTCAACAGCACTTTATTTCTACCTCTTTCATGCTATTTATTCTTCACTGCTGTTTGTACAATGCCCAAGTCTTCCCTTCTCTGTTAGATCTATTCATTCATCCATTAAACATGTACTGGTGTAAACCCGATTAGCGCATAAGAAATAACTAACACACTCCAATAAGGTTACAAGATATCTATATTGATTAGATGTGTAGATCATCACATGTGTATGTACGTATATCTATGTTCATCTCATATATATATAGGCTCCCCAGAGGAGGGAGCAACTACTCTGTCTAGGACAAAGGACCAAGGAGAATTTCAGAAATGACTACATTGCGTAGTGGGCATCTCAAACCATCTGCAGTGAAGAACCACTTTTTTAAAAAAAAAAAATTTCCAACTATCATGGCCTCATGCTTTTATAATACAATAAAAATGAATTACTAGAATTGAACCAAATTCTCACTATTACATTCAAAAAACAAATTACTCCATCGAGTTGCTATACGGTTTCCACATGCTTCCTCTCAATTTCTATCCTTTCCTTGTCATGAACTGGTACGGTAATGAACAGTTCATAGACGAGCACTAGTCTGCTGACCCCACTTTTAATACTGTTGCTTTCTAAGAGGCCTAACATCAACAACTAGATAAGAGAGGAAAAGCAGGGGTAACAAACAGGGTGCAAATACATGACATGTATGGGGAATTTCCAGCAAATTTATATGGATGGAACAAAGGATAATTCATGGAAATGGGTTTTCTGGAATGTAAGAATGCTAAAGTGAAACAAGTAAGGAAAGTGGAAAGATGACCAAGACAGAATGGTGTTTCAGTAGGTTGGAGGGAGCTTTAAGAAGACATGAGTGGACCATGAAATAAAGAACATAAAATAATTTTTTTCCAAGAAAAAAGTTGTTTATACAGCTGATTTTTAATTAATATTATGTATTAATATAGCATTTTAATATAAAATTAACTTCAATCCGTAAGATATGTACAGAGATTTATAATCTACTTCAGTAACAAGATAAACATGGGCCATTATTTTGAAAGTAATATGATAACATATTACAAGGTACAGATATACTGTAGTGTATTCCTGTTAACAAAAATGAAATTCGGATGTGATAGAATGGCATCATAGAAATGTTATGTGAAACAGGTATCTCTTGATATATGGGATCATTATGTTCCTAATTATTTCCTACAATAAAACTTATCTGTTGACCTAGAGTCTAATGAAGAGTTGGGACTGCATCCTATACTTCTATATGCTTACCAGCACCACCGCAGTAATGGGAACAGAATCGATACTCAATAAATATGTCTTGGAAATAATTTTTTCCAAGAAAAAAGTTGCCTATGTAGGTGATGTTTACTTAATATGCATTATATAGTAATACAGCATTTTAATATAAAATTAACTTCAATCATAGGAAAATGATTGCCTATTATACCACAGTTATTAATTCCACAAAGGAATTAAAAGTAAAGCTTATACTTCTAATTTCCTGCATTTAAAAAAAAGTTCTCATCGGCACACTTAACAGACACGATCTGTTGATATAAGAAACAGCAATACCACTGCTTGGCTTTAAAACCTTTAGCCATTTAGAGAAACATTTTACAAACTAGATCTCAACGTTGGATGGCCCCTATGTCAAAGAATATATTTTTTGCCAGATAGGGCAAAAAAATATATTCTCTCACTCCCCTCTTCATCTCTATTAGCAAGTCCTGCCAACTCTATCTCCTAAACATACACCAAATCTGTGTACTTTTCTCCGTCTCTACTGCTACCATCCTGACACAAGCCACCATTTTCTGCCTGAGACTAACGGTTTTCTCCCAGATTCCAGTCTTGCCTCTAATCCATTCTCTATATAATAGCCAGAATATTCTTCTTAAAATGTGAATTAAATCACGTCATTTCCATGCTTAAAGCTCTCCAATGGCTTCCAAAGGCACTGAGAAAAAATAAATGCCTCCTCCCCTGCCTCCTTCTCTCTCTCTCTTTCTGTCTCTCATTTGGATAAAACAAATATGTAATTTTCTTAATGTCATTAGGGACACAGATTTTTCAGTGAGATAAAACTTTTTAAAATTCAAACAAGTTAAATAAAATCTATAACCTGAACTTTGAATTGAAAACATCAATGTGCTCCTAATTATTTTCTCTTTCTCTGAAAAGAAAGGGAAAAAAAATAGGATGCTCTAACTCTGTTCACTGGAAAGGCCAAGAAACAATGACTAGCCTAGGAGGAAAAAACCTTTAGCACCCAAACTAAAGTTTTCTAAATACCGTTTCTCACCAAAAGAAACTAGGTGCCATTGGAGAAAGCTGATTCTATGTCTGGAGCAGGAAACCACCCAGGTGAGCCTGGAATATCTTGTTTTATCACAAAGCAAGAAAACTATCAAAGATACCGGCATTACGTCCTAAAAGAAACAGGAGTCAACTAGAAGAGGCTCTCATGGCCAAAGATGGGGCAATTTGAGCATAATGACTGCAATAGGTTGAAACAAATCAAATACCTTAAACTCCATAAAGACACCTGACAACAAAGACTTACAGGTCAACTTTGCAGGATTGTTAGGGACTAACTCATTCCAAACATTAGCAAATAAAGGGAAGTAATCAAGCACTTTATTATGACGATCTCACAGTAACCAAACAGCTGAAAGGGAAAGTTCTTTTTGAAGAATTCCCACTAATAAATGCAGAAGAAACAATAATATTAGATTATGATGATTTTGCAACCCTCAGTGAAATAATAAACGCTGGTCATTAATGGCTGCTAAAACAATAGGGTAAAAGATGAGGAACCTTATCCTGGCTCTATCAACACTGAGCCCACTGATCCATCTTAGCATCCCTGGTGGCGCAGTGGTTGAGAGAGAGACAGGGGCTTCCCTGGTGGCGCAGTGGTTGAGAGTCCGCCTGCCGATGCAGGGGACACGGGTTCTTGCCTCGGTCCGGGAATATCCCACATGCCGTGGAGCGGCTGGGCCCGTGAGCCATGGCCACTGAGCCTGCGCGTCCGGAGCCTGTGCTCCGCAGCGGGAGAGGCCACAACAGTGAGAGGCCCGCGTACCGCCAAAAAGAAAAAAAGAGAGAGACAACCCGACATTTTTGTGTTTCCTAATGTGATGTAATAGGAATTCACACACACAGTAAATGTGAAGTTTTTCTGCCACTACCATCCCCCTAAAAGAAACTGAACCTGAACTTGCTTAAGGCTCTAGACCTAATTTACAGTTTACAGACAACACATGAGTTAAAGGAACATGTTATAACACCACCAGTGAGGATGCAATCAGCAAAATCCAGAATGTGGGAAATTCCAAAGAACTAATAACCTAGATCGTCAACAAATAAATGGCAAGGAAAAAAAGAAAGGGGGAAGAAAAGAAGAAAGGGTGAGGGATAACTATTATAAACTAAAAAGAGACTGTGGATCTCAACTAAAACAAAGGGATTGCAAAAGACATTTGTGAGGTAATATTGAAAATGCAAGCTCTAATTGGATAACGATAATATTAAAGAATAACCAGGTTTTTAAAATTTATGACATGTATTTTGATTATACCCTGATGGCACTGGTGATTTGTTTGTTTTTAAGGAGTCCTTATTCTTTAGATTTATTTTCTAAGGACTCTTTCTCCTCAGTTGTTTATGGATGAAGTGATTTGATCTCTGGGATTTGTTTTAAAATAATTTGGTACTTGGGGGTTTGGAGCAGTATAGGTGAAAGGAGATGGGCCAAATGCTGTTAACTGTTGAAGCTGTACGATGGGTACGTGAGGGTTATCACATTATTCCTCCTATGCTTGTGTATATCTGAAAATAACACAAAGAAAAAAGAAGAAATAGGAGAACTGACTTTGTAAGTACTTTTATAGGATTAGAATTTGCTTTTGAAACTTTTACTACTAAAGCAGCTAAAAAGCTCTGTATCCTTTGGTTGTATGTGCTTAAAAATGTTTGCTTACCTCTACCAATTTGGAAGCTAAATACATGGAAATTGTTGTGCTTTTATAAAACATCATTGATATTCCCGCCAAAAATCCTGGAAAAACAAATAAGGCAAAACTGATCAGAACTCAAAGTATTTCTTTGTTATTAAGTCACTCAGAAATGTTGTTTCACTTAAATAGGAAAGAACTGATTTGTAGCACTGCCTTTTGTTACAACAAAATCAAGGACAGTAATATAAGTGATGACATTAAAATGGGATGAATTCTTATTTATTATCACATATTTTTAAACTTAAAAATTGACCTTTAGAGTTAGGAACCACAGTTCTGATACACATATCACAAGAAACTACATTCTAAATCTAACTTTCAAAAACAGCAGTGGTCTTGCCAAATACAATGATTTTTTAAAATAATTTTTTAAAGGTTACTGGTATCATTTCTGATTTTAAGTGGAAATAGTCATTCATCTATTCTCCTAACAGCTCAAATTATGTTTAGTGCTGTCATCACACTTCCCTCCATTGCTTTCATTCTATAAATGGAAAACCAAGGTGGTAGAAGGCCTGGAATACTAATAGTAGGGATATTACTAATAAATATCTGAAAAATTGTCTATTTAACTTAAGTAATACATATACTGAACTCACAGAAAATGTTTAGTTTTATTTTTATAAAATTACTTGAGTTCCTAAAAAAGTTATTTTTAAAAAATACATCACTTGCCAGTGGTAAAATCAGAATATTTTAAGAAATCTAACTGCACTTCCACTAGTCACTTATATAATATTTTAAGCCTTTGTGTTCTTTTGTGACACATTTTCCCTAGAATTTCTGGCCTGTAGCAGGACAGATACCCAAGTCATTATATTGCCAACCCAAAATATCAGATGGCAAGAGAGCCTCGATATGTTAAACTTCACAAATACAAAATGTTTGTACTAGTGCCTTAATGGGGATTCTATTACAGAGAAAGGAAGATACAAAGAAATCAGATGAATTTGAAAACCATGTCTGCTTCATTCCTACTACTGATTGATGCAATAGTAATATATGTATTTTATCATTGCTTTACCAGCTATAATGGCATGCAGTTCATCATCCAGATTTCTGACCCAGCGCAGGAAGCAACTAGTACCCTGTATCAAGAAGAAAATACAATGACTTCAGTTGTTTCAGTTCTAGGAAAAAAATGCATGTAACATCTGTAATGGGTGAGTCATTAGCTGACCTTAGAGGCAAATTGGTGATCTTATTTAAATCAAACTGAATACATGATTGGGAAAATTATGAACAGTAACCTGTTATAACGTTACTGTTTGGATAGACCCTATTAAGAAATTATACATAAAATTTTCATTGTGATGATTTTTCAAAATGAATTCAAAAATTCTACTTTTGCTTAGATGTTGAATGCTGGGAAAAGTATCACTCCCATTCTAACAAAGAGAAAAAAGCTGGATAAGCTACAACTCTGTCAAGTCAGAATCCTATACTTAGAGAAAACACTTTTCAATATGAAGGTGAAATAAAGACTCTCAGAAATTTCGCACCAAGCTGGCGGGTAATCCCCATGTCAGTGTGACGTGGTAGCTCGGAAGTGTTTTCTGCTGCTGTCATGGTTCGTCCGCTAAACTGCATCGTTGCTATGTCCCAGAACACAAAACATCGGCAAGATCGGGGACGAGCCATCGTCAAGAATGGGGACCTGCCTGGCCCCCGCTCAGGAATGAATACAGGTATTTTCCAAAGAATGACCACAACTTCTTCAGGAGAAGGTAAACAGTATTTGGTGATTATGGGTAGGAAGACCTGGTTCTCCATTCCAGAGAAGAATCGACCTTTAAAGGACAGAATTAATATAGTTCTCAGTAGAGAACTCAAGGAACCTCCACAGGGACCTCATTTTCTTGCCAAAAGTCTGGATGATGCCTTAAAACTTATTGAGCAACCAGAATTAACAAATAAAGTGGACATGGTTTGGATAGTGGGGCACAGTTCCGTTTACAAGGAAGCCATGAACAGGCCAGTCCATCTTCGACTATTTGTGACAAGGATCACGCAGGAATTTGAAAGTGACACATTTTTTCCAGAAACTGATTTGGAAAAATATAAACTTCTCCCAGAATATCCAGGTGTTCCTTCTGATGTCCAGGAGGAGAAAGGCATATTTGAAGAATATGAAAAGAACAGTTAATATGAAAGTGTTTTCTGATCTATTTCTGATCTATTTCAAGCCTCCTCCTCCCCACCCAAAAAAAAAAAAATTATGTATTTTTTGTTGTAAAGACTTTTGTTGACTTTAGATCTATGGATAATTATTTCTAAGCAAAGTACCTTTATTCCCCATTAATCTTAACTAGACTGTATCAGATACCATTTGTGAAACATTTCTTGCTGTAACTGACTGAATGACCATCAAGGGTCAAGAATAGGTTACCAGCACCTGCCTAGGGTAGAATATCTACCAAGACAGGCCAAAGCGGGAGAGTCCCCTGGTAGCATAAGTTGAAACCAGAGCCTATAGAGCTAGGAGCTAGGCAGATGGGTCCAAAGGTCAGAAATGGATTATAAATAGAAAAGCTAGCACTCAGTTATCAAAATTAGATCAAAAGAGGGACTGTGAATTACTCTATATCACACTTGTGAAAAATATTCTGTTCACTCAGACCGGGAGTCAATAAGTTGAGAACGCCAGGATATTCCACACGGATAGTAAAGAAGCAGGTATGACACTACCTTTTCGGTGGTCAAAGGAGAAGGTCTGAGACCTTAAAAGACTTTGTTTCTGATCTTCAATGAGATTCCATGAGATGTTACAATGATAAAACAAGAATTGGCTGCTCTTTACAAAAAAGAATAATCTAACATCAAGCATAATGGCTAAAATTAAAAATTCAAGGAGGTAATAAATTGAGAACGAATATTGCTAGAAACCAAAATTATTAAGTTAGAAACTAAACTTCACAGAATTAAAAAATGAAAATTAAAACATGTTTTACCCATCATGTTAGCAAAGATTTAGATTAAGTATCCAAAAAAAAAATAAAAGAGCATTTTCTGCCTTATAAATTGGGACAAACTTTTTAGAGTGTAAGTTAGCAATATCAATTAATATTCAAAATATTCTGGGTTTGGACCCAGAACTTCCACTTCTAGAATTTAATCCTGAACAAAGAAATGGACCCAAGAGTATTTGTTGCAACATTTTTTTTCAAACTTGGAAAGAGCCCAAATGTTGATAAATAAGAAATAACTAACCAATATGTCTATAAAATGTAACATCTGCACTGCAGCAGTTAAAAAGGACAAAGTACTGACAGAAAAACGCCAAAAATTGCTAAGCAAAAGAAGCAAATTGTGTATAATACTCAAAATGTTTAATAAATATTAATGTGTGGGGGAAAAAAAAAAAAGACTCTCTCAGACAGATAGAAGCTGAGAAAATGCACCACCTGCAGACCTGCATTACCAGAAATGTTAAAGGTTTATAGGCACCACCGATATGTTAAAGGCAGGCTGAAGGAACGAGATACCAGATAAAACTTTAGGTATAAAAAAAGAGATGAAGAGCTCTGGAAAAGGTAAAATGAAGGTAAATTTAGAAGACATGTTTTTCTTACATTTAATTGTTATAAAAATGAATCAACTGTCTAAAGCAGTGGTCAGAAAACTATGGCCCACTAGGCAAATCTAGCCTGCCACCTGTTTTTACATGGCTCATAAGCTAGAATATTTTTACACCTCTCAATGGATAAAAATAAAAAACAATAATATTTTGTGACATGTGAAAATTATATGAAATTCTAATACAGTGTGCTAAATTTTTATTGGAATGCAGCCATGCTCATTCATTTATATATTGTCTATGGCTGCTTTCACACTATAACATCAGAGCTGAATAGTTATGAGTGAGACCATATGTTCCACAAAGCTTAAAATATCTACTCTTTGGCCCTTTACAGAAAAAGTTTTCTGACTCCTGGTCCAAAACAAAAATAGCAACAGCATATTGTGGGGTTTATAACATATGAAAAGATAAATGAATTGCACAAAGGATGGGAAGGAGGAATTACAAGTATGATGTGGTAAGATTCTTACACTATACTGAAGTGGTATAATATTATTTGAAAATATTGACCAATAAATTTAAAATGTTTATTATAAATGTTAAGACAATCACTAAATTTTTAAAAGACATATAAATAATAAGCCAATAGTGATGACAGAATATAAAAAATACAAAAAAAATTAATATAAATTTAAAATACATAAAAAATACCCCCAAAATCCAGGAGACAAAAAAAAAGAGGAACAAAGAAAAAAATGGAACAAATATAAAACAACTAATAAGAAAGCAGATACAAACAGATATAAACTCAACCATATCAATAACTATATTAAATGTAAAGAGTCTAAATATACCAATTAAAAGACAGTGATTACCAAACTGGATACAAAAGTAAGAACCAACTATATGTGGTCTAAAAGAAACCAACCTTTAAACTGAGGTCACAGAAAGATTAAAGAAGGAAAATATACCATCAAATATAATCAAAAGAAAACTGGAGTAGCTATATTAATAGTAGACATAGTTGACTTCAGAACAAGGAATATTACCAGGATAAAGCGGAACATTACAAAATGGAAAAAGGGTCAGTTCACCAAGAAGACACAGAAGAAATAAGGTTTGTTTGCCTGACCTTCTCTTAATTACATTCTTAGGAAGATGCAAAAAATTGATAAATTTTTCAGAAATCACATATGGCTTTGGAACATGCTGTACGAATATTTTTTATAATAGATTTTCTGACCCAGTTGCATTTTCTTTAGCTTAATTACCATTAGTTTACATTACCTAAGCAAATAAGTAGCAAAAATATAAACAAACAAAAAAGCCTAGGCTCTCAGATATGCTGGATGGTGGAGAATAACCAACCTGGGCTAAAAATGTTGGAGATAATCCACATATAAATATTTAAGAGTTTATCTTAAGAGCAAATATAAACTGTATGACACAAGAAATGAAAAAGAATGTGAATATAAACATATTATCACCAATATTCTGCCCTGTTAACTCTTGTATATATTCAAAGATATAAGTAATGCTTCCTAGTCAAACCATATTGAAAATGTTTTCAGTGTTAGTAATATTTCATAACAAGTGACTAATTAACTATA